TGAGCCAAGGTGAATACAGCAACTGCAGCACAAGAGAGTCTGGTTAACAAGATAAAGCACAGCAAGAACTTGAAGTATAAGGCCTGTTACCAACGTGTGTTGATGACAAACTGGCAGTGAATGAACATCAACGTGTGGCTTAAATCCCTCTGGCTTGATTGCCTGCAATAGGCTCCAGGTGTGCAGGAGCTGGAGGAGTTGGCCCTGCCCAGGGGCGGATCCCAGGTAGGTTCAGGAGCCTTATGGAAATTCCAGCCACCCACTGCAGACCATGACATCTTGTGCCCATCAGGAAAACAAAAATAAAAGACAGGACTGCATTGCCAGTGACTAAATAACAATGAAAACTATAACTCTGTTAAACTTTGTCCAATAAGACTTCAGGGAATATATTAAATATTAGTAGAGCAAGTTAATGCTATGCTCACGTGCAAGAAGCAATGATGCAAAAATGTCTGCTCTGTTTGTCTGCTCCTGCAGTTTTCACAGGATTGTGTACAGTTCTGTAAAAAAACACTACACACACCTAATGAATCAGTAACTTGTAAAACCATCTTTAGCAGCAATAACTTGAAATAATCTTTTTCCCTATGACTTACAAATATGAATTTAAGCCCAGTCTTCTTCACAATGTTGTTTCACTTCATTATGGTTTGCAGGCATTAATCCACAGCTCTCTTGAATACCATTTTAAGGTATTTACTAATGGGGGGTCTTTGCAGCATCTTGACTGTTTTTCAGTCATTCAGCTATACATTTGTTGCTGCTTGGTATTGCTGTTTTGTTACATAATACAATATTGGTAAAGCTTTAGCTGTTGGATTACAGCCTCACTTCTGGCTCTAGGATACTTTGTTATACTGTTACTGAAAAACAAGCCCAAATCATCATCATCCCGCCACCATCATGCTTGACAGTTGGTAAGAGGTGTTTGTACGAACATGCTTTGTTTTTGTCAGAAGTGGTGTTGTGCATGATGGGCAAACATCCCCACTCTAGTCTTACTCTTATTTTTATTTTTATTCTTATTCTTATTCTCAGTCTCCACTATGCTGAAAGGACATGCAAACCTGTTCTTTTTAGAGAGAAAGGTTTTCACCCCTTACAAGCCACTCTTCATAAGTTTTTGGGTTTTTTTTTTTGTAATTGTACTTTCAAGAACTTCATTTACAAGAAATTCACATTTTTTTGTTTTATTCTTTTTTTTATATGTTCAGTGCTGTGTTTGCCATGTGTTCTACTAGTGCAAATTGATTAAATAAAAAAAGAAACAATAATACAGCTTTAAATTCACAGGAAAATGATGGACCGTAGGAAACAAAAAGATGGAATACAAATCAAATATTTGAGCACCAGACTGTCATAAGTGTGTTTAATGGCAACTTTTGTACTCATGCTTATTTGGATTTACCTTAATCTACTTTATATAGCTCTTAAAATGTCTGAGTTGTCTGTGTCACACACTGTATTGCCTCACTTTCCTCACAGAAATCCATTATCCAATGGTAAGTAATAACCGAATATCAGAATATCATGGAATGAGTAACTGTATTTGGTTGTAGTAACACTAGTGGTTTCCTATTTAAATGATGTTGAAATCTGTCAGCTTCAGTCTGGCAAGAGTTTTTTAAATAGTGTCACATTGGCATAATCAACATTTACACTGCGTGATAGCCCTCCCCAACTTTCTATCACACACTCAACACACAATCAGGGCATCTCATCCATTTTTTTTTCCAAACCCCAATTTCCTGCTCGTGTATGTGAGACATCTTTATGGGAACCAAATCGACTGTTCATTAATGAGGGAAGCTGTATCAAGAACAAACATCTTTAATTAACACATCCCCAGTACTTCCTGTCTTTGATCTCCTCGTTTGATTTATGCCTCAGCAAGAAAAGGTTGGGGTGGTGGAGGAGTACACAAGAAGTTCGAAAAGGACGAGGAGAAAATAATGAAACTGTGGAGCCCCTGTTGGTCAGGAAGTCCTACAGCATTAGGACCTTTCTCCTGTGTGTCAGGGGGGCAGCTCAATTACTAGGCAGCACAGCTATCTCTTTAATAGCCTGATAAGACAATAATCCAAAAATCCATACAGTTTTAATGACTTTCTGTCTAATTAAGGACTGTTTTATAAAATATGGACACATCAGAGGCCTTCCTATTGTTCAGTAAGCTACTGTTGGTGCTATCAGCGTGACTAGTTCAGAACAAGTAAAAGGCTTTTAAAAGTATAATTATATGTATTTTACTTAGAGACTTACTAATTATATGTATTTTACTCAGAGACTTGCTGTGCATAAATCATCAAGTAATCCATGTGTGATTCAAATGTTCAATGTCAGAGGGGTTATGATGAACTGAGGGAGAGAAATCACTTTTACCTCAGTTCTCACACTGGATTTAAACACAGAGTTAGGAATGGAGAGAACTCAGTAGTAGCATTAGCGCTACACTACAGACTGAATTTAAAATCGACCTGCATGAATATTTGAGGTTTTCAAAGCAAAATCAGGACCACATCTGTCATCTGTCTGTATGACCAGGAATGTGTGTGTCCCTTTGTAGAGATGCCAAGTGTTTGTTAGTCTTTAGTCCCCTCTAGTGTTAGCCCATAATATCGTCCTGTTTTCAATTAGCTTTACAGTTCATATTTCTACTGTATCTATAAAATAATGTATACGCTTACCTTGCTCTGAATCATGAATGACTCTTTATACTACAAACAAAATGAAATTACCTTTTTAATATTACATTTAGTTTCACATTAGTAAATAATTGGTGCCATCTAGACATCACACTCAAGTATTCCTTTAGCTTCGTTTCAGTTCAGTTTTATTGAAACAGCTTCAACAAAAACAAAAAAACAAACCCCAAAACTAAATTAGGCATGAATAACAACAATACAAATTATTGTCTTCTTTATTCTTCATTTCTTTATATTTCTGACTTTAGAAATATTCTCTTTAATTAATATACAGACCAGATGGGCCAGTTGTAAAAAATATTGTAAAATATAACAAAAGATTTACTTTCCAGAGACTAACATGGTCAGTCACAC